CACTAGTCCTGGGGCAGCTGAGCAGTTATTTGGTCAGTTTGTAGCTGTATCTTTATTCTGAGAGTTTAAGGAAGCCTTAACTGACCCAGCAGAAATGTCTTGAACCTGGTAATACTGGAACTCTGTGTCTTCAAGAGATTTTGTATGAAATGACCCTCGCCAGAGGCCAGAGCTGCACTGCTGTGGCTTGACATTTTCAGGGGATTTCAGTATTTCTTTTTAAGAGAAAGACAGCTCAGAGCACTAGCCTCTGCTTTGGCTCTTCAATGTGCCAGCTCATTGCAGTCACGTGTGTGCTTGCAGCTGTACGTGTGCTACTAGCATGGTTTTATTTGTTTGTTTTGGGCTTAATCAGCAGTGCTGAGGTCAGGAATTCCTGTCTGAGGGAGAGAGAGCAGGGGAGATGGCAGACAACTGGAGAGATGGAAATCGCTGAGTCAGGCCGCGCAGCTCTTCACACCTTGTCATTACAATCCACTGTCCCGTGCTAAAGCTGAAATTACCGGTTATCTTCGAGTCCTCATGCACAGACCTGCTTCCTGACTTACCGCACTATTGCAGATAGACCTGAACTGACCCTACATCTCCAGTTTGCACATGTTTAAAGTGATGGTCTTACCAAAATTACACTATTTTCATCTTAACCCAAATGAAGTTGATCAGCCAAGACATGTTTAGTGTCTGAAGTTTGCTTCTTAGAGTTTGCACTAGAGCTGTGAGACTAATGTGTCTAACAAGCAGTGGAAGCTTAAAGCCACCAGAGTGCTGAGTGCATGCCTAAATGGAAAAAAAAAATGAACAGATTTACAGATAATATCCAGGTTTCAAGATAGCTATGACTGCTGTTTTTTGTGGTTTATTTTTTTAAATTTTTTTTTAGCAAAGTAGTGAGGTCTATTTTTTGAATGTGTCATGCAGACTGATACCATGTGTTAGCATTATACTGATATAAGCAGCAAACGTTGGATAGGATATTAGGAAAAATGAGTTTCCTGTAACAAATGTAGCCTGAAATTGCACATACTCACATTGTGTGATGTGATAATGTTAGCTGTGTATTTCTTCCTGTGGGGTTGTACATGGTTTGAGTAACTTGAGCCAGGACTGCATGATTGGCAGGTATTTGCTCCACACACACAATTGACCAAATTATTATTTTAATTTTGGCCAGTTTGTGTTGCAATTCTATGACATATGAAAGTGCACTCATGCTGTAGTTGAATGCTGCTGCTGAACTACACCAAAATGTAATAACATAATTAAGCATGACTCATTGGACTAAATAGCCAGCAGCCTCTTATTTTCAATGTAGCACTTTATTTGATTGTGATTTAGACCACTTTTTTTTGTTTACAAAATTAATATGCCAATTAAACCAGTTAACCCTAGAATGCATGGCCAAAAATCCTACACAAATGCACAAAGGTGGTCAAAATGACCCATTTTGAAATCAGTGATTTTCTTCAAGTTAAGAATTTAAAGATAAACAAATGTTTTAATATTTCAGTCTTCAATATTCAATATTTCAATCTTGTTCATTTGATCACTTCACATGTACATATACAGTAATGGAAGATGAAATTAATTTCAATTTAAATGTATTGCAACTTATCAACTGACTCAGAAGTCAAAAGGGCACTAGAGTGAATGACTTATTAGTAATCTACATTTCTTACTGTCTTTCTTTTTTTCCTTATTTCCAGTCCATTGATTAGTTTCCCATAACTTGTCAGTCGTACAGTAGAAGCACCACTCGTGTTAGCTAGATAACTCACTTTTCAAAATTTGCTAGCTAGCTAAGTATTGGTTGAGTATTGGCTGTGACAAATGATGCACATTCTGAACAGCAAATGATACAAGACAAAATGAGATGTATGACAGAGGAATATGAATGAAATATTCTTATGAATTACATTTGTGATCAAGAAAATTATTTTTTTTAGGACAAAATTCCTGTAGTAAATGAAACAACCCTTTTACAAACACTAGTAGTCACATAAAAAGATCTTTTGAAATTAGCATAGTCACAACAGTTTTGATTAACCCATGGAATGTCAAGGAATAAAATGTTTTTATTGACAAAACGTATCAAAAAGTGCCATGGTGAGTCAAATTTACGTAGGACATGCATAGGGGTCACAAGCAAGACTTTTGAGGGATACATGGAATATCAAATATTAAATGTTATTGTTGATAAAATATTCAATCAAAATCGCACCCTTTTGGGTCTGTAAAGAAATCTGAATCGACTATAAAATTGATCAGTGCAAACTACTTTTTGATGCTCATTTTAAGTGAAGTGCTTCAATTAACGTGAGCTCATTTTAAAGCTTGCTAGTTTTAAAGAAGAAAAGTTGGATCAGCTGATACTTAAGATTTCATTGGTATTGGTATCATGCCATCTCTACTTTAAAACCCGCATTTGGGACACCCCCATAAGGCCCCCCCCCTCACACACACACACCATTTGATCGGGCATCTCTACTGATTTCATGGGCAAGTGAGGGGGAAAAAAAGGATTGGCAGAAGTTGCCAGGGAAAGTCTGACCACACACACCACCCCATGTCGTTCCAAACCACACTTCTATAAGATGGAGGCCAATAAAGCCCCAGCAGTCCAGATGGAAAAGAGGTTTTGTATTTTCCTCTGAGTTTTCTGGCCTTAAACAGGGAGTGAAAGGCATAAAGGGAACTGAGTTCAGTTGCTAGATGCACACTGTAGAATAGACAGTGGCTTAAAATGATGGCATATTTCAAAGGGACATGGTGTCACAATTTTGTCACAATAAAACCTGTGCGTTTAGACCACAGTCATTTGAATCACTTTGTTCTTTTGTTAAAAGCTGAGTGAAAGTCCTCATTCATGTTTTTTTAGACTTCCTTTTACACTTCCTCTTTCTGGTCCATTCTTAGCCCTCTGCACCCTCTTCCCTCCTGTACCATCAGCCTATTCACTCCAGTTACAGTCTCCTGGACACCAGGCCTTTATTTACCCTGTAATGACCTTGTTAATATATTTTGCCTTCTGCTTGTTGTCCTCCTCGTTTCTTGTTTTTTTTTTTTAATAGCATACTTACCGACATGCCACTCCATTAAGTATGCCTATTTGTCTGTACAATGCAACTGTGCATTTTTTCACCTCCACCTACCAAATAGCTGCACTTTGTATGAACAGGTATTATTTGGATGGTGGGTCATTCTCAGCACTGCAGTGACTCTGACATGGGGGTGATGTGTCCATGTGTATCAGAGGTGGGGACCCACCACAGTATCTTGCGTTGCGGGGCTCATTTTCAGTGTCATGCGCATGAGGGGCATTTAGCCAGCATATTGTCAGTGTGGGCAGGAGCAGGACATTACATATGAATAGCTATCACATAATAACTGAAATATCTAAATAGATATCTGACAGGAGAATAACAAACTTATTCAAAAAGGTCTTCTAAACTACACATGATTTGCTTTCTTGGCTTTGCGAAAGTCTACAGCTGTTGAAAGTGCTTTTACTAAAGATGAATATGCAATAGTAAAAATGAATATGCAAGAACAAAGCTGGCAGTTATTTTCAATCATGATAAACAAATATGGAAAGCAGTTATGAAGGTCTGCAGACGGGAGCAGAACAAATGGTTTAAGTTGCAGGAAATTTTGCAGGAGCAGGCTGGAGTGAGACTAAAAAATCGGTCTCATTCAGATCTCTAAATCAGACACGGTAATATGTGTTTTAATTTGAAATACTGTCCACTTTCTGTCCACTCTTAGACACCCCTACATTTTGGGTCCACCTTATATATGTAGATCTAGTCTTTTATCAGTGGTCACAGGACACTGCTCACAGTACGGTGTTGGCTGGATATTTTTGATTGGTGGATTATTCTCAGTCCAGCAGTGACACTGAGGTGTTTAAAAACCTCCAGCAGCACTGCTGTGTCTGATCCACTCAGACCAGTGCAACATATACTAACATACCACCATGCGCCTGTCACTGCAGTGCTGAGAATGATCCACCACCTAAATAATACCTGCTCTATGGTGGTCCTGTGGCGGTTCGGACCATTGAAGAGCAGGGTGAAAGGGGTTAAAAATTATGCAGAAAAACTGCTGAACTACAGTCTATCTGAGCTGATAAAATGGACGAAGATTGTAGATACAACGACACATATTTAGTGAAGTGGCCGGTCGGTGTGTACTGCTGTTTAAAAGTTTGGAATCCCTTGTCATTTTAATTATTGTTATTTTATTCATTAATAATATGCCTTATGTAGATTTATTCTTGTATTTTGTACCTTTTTGTTTTTTTTTTTTTCAACTGTGGTTCACTTATAACATTTGTGTGGTTTTATGTACCAAAAATAGTTCATTTTTGATGTGACCATTTCCAGCCTCTCTTTATCCTTTAAAAATAAACAGGCTGTTTTTGCTACTGTGCCTTTAAGACTGATGAGCTCTGTTCTGAATGGCTGTCCTGTGTTGCTTCTCATCAGAGGTGCTATGAAGGAGGATTGTGTGTTACTGAGCCAGACGCTACAAACTGTTTGTGTTTTTTGTTAGATTTTATCAGTGATTTCAGATATATATTTAAACATTAATGTGATTTTCCGATTCAAACAGAAAGGAGACTAGTCTTGTATGACTGGAAGTTACTGTCTGGTGGCGTTTTCAAGATGGCTTCCAAATGGACAGACTTTCTTATAAGGACTTTGGCCTCATTCACAAAAGCAGTCCAGGCTGAAACACTCCTTAGAATTTTAGCATGCATGGGTGGGGCTAAACTGCTATAGATCTGAATGGGGAGATATGTAAATGTGTTAGGTGTTTTCTTTTTAATGTAAAAATATTTGAAAGCTGTGTAGTTGCACAGGACCAGAGTATTTGCATCATTTTATATATTTACCTGCAACACAGTAGGTTCCATAATACTGTAGTAATGTATGTGTGGGTCTGTGCGTGTGTGTGTGCTGCCGTCTGAGTTAATGCTGGTACTTGCTGTTCTGTTCCAGATGAGAAGCCTGCACAGGAGGAGCAGTGCGTGTGTCAGCATCCAGACTGCACTGAGCGCCGCCGCGCTGCAAAGGTAAGAGCTGGACACCATACACACACACACACACACACACACACACACACGCACACACACACACACACACACACACACACTATACAGTGCTGTGGAGGGTCCTGAATGAGTTACTGCTGCACACACCCACACACACAAAACACCTGTCTTTCTCTCTAAATTGTCTCTCTTCTTTCTCTCTGTCTGGGGCTGAATTACTGTTGAATATAAACAGTATCTCTCTTTCTCTCTATCTCTGTCCAAAGTGTCTTTATTTCTCTGTCTAAAGCCTCTCTCTCTCTCTCTCTCTCTCTCTCTCTCTCTCTCTCTCTCTCTCTCTCTCCCTCCCCCTCCCCCTCTCTCTCTCTCTCTCTCTCTCTCTCTCTCTCTCTCTCTCTCTCCCTCTGTGTCTGTGTGTCTTTGGCTGGATTACTGATTGAATATAAACACATCTCTCTCTTGCTCTTTCTGTCTAAACATCAGGCTCTAGTTTTGTAGTTCTCGGGGGTGACAGCACTGCACACTTCAGCGTTCTGCCTTATTAAACACACCTGACTCATCTGCACACTAGGAAGATGAAGGAAAACACTCATCTCAGCTGAGCTGTTTCCCAGAAGCAAGTTTGACATGCTAGGTCTAAAGTAAAGTAACTCACACAGTCAGTCTCTCTCTCTCTCTCTCTGTCTCTCTCTCTCTCTCTCTCTGTCTCTCTCTCTCTCTCTCTCGGTCTGATTGAGTATGTGTGTGGAGGGTTGTGTTATGTTTAAAGATCAGGACTGTGTGTGTGTCAATGTGATGTGGTTTAGTCTGTGTGGTCAGCGAGGTGTGAAATGAATGAGCCATCATAATCCCTGTGTTTTCTGCCACGGGACGCTTGCTGAAAGGGAAGGGAAAAGTGGCGTCCCCTCAGCCTCTTTTGCCTAAGCCAGTGGCTTCTAGTCCTTCACAAAGCAGGATTTCCACAAATCTCAGTTAGCCAGATAACTTAGGCCACTAGTAGGAGAGCTAAGGAACATTCTTATTGGATACTTTTGGCTTTAGTTACCTTGCCTTACTAAAAACGCTGACAGAGTACAGTTAAAGGAAAGAAAGCTGAAACACTGGAGAGAAAGTAAAGCTCCTAAGCAGAGACCATGAGCAGGATGTCTTTTGAGAAATGTAACCTAATATGACTAAGCCTGTTTCACTCTTGTGCCTAAGTGCCTTGAGCTGCCTCCAGGTTTCAGCCACCTAGTGTGCAGCATACACACAATCAGGGTCAATTTAAGAGATTATTTCTCCTTTTTATCTACATTTTATTATTGATTATAAATGATATTATTATTATTATTAGAAATGATTAAAAAAAGGAAACAAAGGTTCCTTATCAGTTAAATGAGCCAGTCAAGTTAGTGGTTATGCCGCAAGCAGGAAAGGCCACCTCAATTTGGGCTCTGTTCTTGAGGTCTGCTCAGGTACAGTAGCCAGAACAATCTGAAAAAAACATTTTGTGTGCGTTATTGAGCTACAAACTATTTGAGGTATTTGTCAGATTTTGCCAGTGATTTCAAATACCTATTTGTTATTTACCTGTGATTTTAAATTACTGTTTTAGAAAAAATTTGGCCTTCAGTTTTGGGTATTTTGGTCTTTCACCATTCAGAGAGATAGGAGCCTGGTCTTGTATAATTAAATAACTTGAAAATAACTGTGGCCTATAAGGACTTAGTCTGAAAACATTAGATCTGTGCCACATTAAAGTAAAAACATCAGATTTGTACCAGTTCAGTCTGGTAATGTGAACGTAGAAATTTTTTTTTTTTTCCGCCAAACTTTTTCTTTAAGTAGGTATTTACCATGAGGGAAGGAAAGTGAGCAAGCAGTCCTTTTACGATGATTGATTTGCCTAAATACTCTTTATATGAGCATTTCTTGACCCCGCTGGTTTATATAAGGAGTCTTGGAGGGATTCGTATGTTTAAGAAAATCCCCCCAGCGCTGGGAGATTATACAGTTGGCCAGTCCTTATTAGAGCTTCCTAGCCTTACTTACATAAAGAGTCTTTGCAGAGTGCTCACAGCTTATGTCTTGTCAGCTGCTGTGTCCCAAGTGGTGCTTTGAGGTCTCTCTCTGCAGTGTTGTGCGACTGACTGTGTGTGTGTGTGTGTGTGTGTGTGTAACCTTTTTGTCTCTGTACATTAACCCCTTAAACTCCTCAGACCTGCACATACTACATAACTTTCATATTAGATTCAGGCTCACTGCAAATCTCTAGGATTGCTCGCAGCTCTGTTTGTTCTTTTCTCTTACATAGCTAAACTCTGAGCTAGTGTGCTAGAGGATATCAGAAATGAAAGTTTGCTAGGTCCAGATTAAAAACCCATTTGTTCAGATGAGTATATGCCTGTTTTTTTGGCTTCTTACTATTTATTTCGTAATTATTTCCATAATTATTTAAATAATTTATGTTTGAGTTGTTTTTTCATTACTTTTATTTTTTCATGTAAACCAGTACATTCTGGGTTTACAATGTTTGGCTTACGTTCTCATATAAAGCAATTTGAAATTTTGAGATTAAAATGATACTTAAAGTAAGGCTGAAGCAACTGCTAAATTAATACTAACTGTTTAATAATGCATTATTGTGATAAATATTTAAAAAATTTTAAACATTGTTAATTTTCCTAGTTTGACCCTTCAAACCATCTGCTCTCACTGGAGGTCACTGATCATAACTGGAAATAATAAATGCCTTCAAAATCTTTCTATAGGGTTGAATTTGAGCAAATTAATCAAATGTGATTAATGCACTAAATGCACAATTATGTGCAGTTAAGTCTTTTAGTAGTTAAAAATTTTAAGTGAAATCTTTTTAAAGCCTGCATAGTAATCATCAAAATAATCAGTAGATTACTTAATTGCTAATATAATCCATACTTACCACTTTTAAAATAATTAAAAGTTTCAATATGATATTTTTTCCCCATTTTTTAGGAAATGAATGATTGAATGTTGAGAAATTTCTGATCTAACTGCCACAAATGATATCACAAATGACATGCTGCCCCTCATAGGCATTACATACAGACTTACATACATACCAGCACATATACACACATTAGCTGTGCATTTTTTAATGTGTTTTTCTAGTTTGACCTGTCAAACCATCCCTAGTAGTGCAGGCTAAAGCCAAGCTGCTCACGTGCTGTAAGTTGCTATGATCCACGACTGTAGCTCTCTTGTTCAGATACAGCTTATAAAGGGCTGTTGATACAATACCTAGAATAACATAGCAATGGTTATATGGCACCTTAACAACCACCTAGGATCCCATAGCAATAGCCTAGCAACACCTTAGTGACCACCTGATATACCATAGTGATGGCCTAGTAACACCTTAGCAACCACCTGGGATGCCTTTGCAACAGCTTAGCAACACCTTAGCAGCCACCTAATATATCAAAGCAACAGCTTTGTCAAGGGAACTTAGTTTGCTAATGAACTTGCCCTTTGTAGTTACTGTTATTATATAGGTCAATGAATGATTAATAGTAGTTTCTGGAGAATAAGCTTTAAGATCAATAATAAAATAATGAGGCTGGATTTTAAAGCGTTAAGGCTCAGGGGTTTAATGCTCATAAGTGCTTAGTGATTGCAGCGTGGGAGAGGTCAGCATGTAGCTCTGCTGCTCTTCTCTGGACCTGTAGCCCCAGGCACCGTGTTTAGAGATTACATAAAGAGATTATGGAGAGACTCAGCAGGAGAGGAGTGGGGCTGCAGTTGTTTTGGACATTCAGGGTCACTTCTTGCTGCTAGCCTGGTGTCTCTCTTCTCTTTGTAGGCATTCAGTTTTCTTAGAAAGCCGAATAATGAACACAGTTGTTCACAGTTTGCAGTACCAGACAAAACTTTGGAGAAAAGGTGTATAGAAATCAAAACTATTTCTGTTGTCTTCAGCATAGCCCCCCACCCTCTTTACCTTAATGTACACTACATAGCCTGAAGTATGTGGACTTATTATTGAGTTTATTGTTGAGGGACTAGTGGGGGAAAAATGGTGGAAGAAACCCCTGATAAGGACATTGTCTATTTACTGTAAAGCTAAACTGTACCTGCACTTGGGGCTTAGTATGTGCAGGATGATGATGCATATATCTTCACACAGTTAGATGAAATGAGCTAGAATCGTTTTGTTTTTATAGCACAACAAACAAAATCTTTAAATCTTGCCCCCACTTTCAGGGCAATATGCCTACTTACATGAATGTGAAGTTAAAAGCATTCCTAGTCCATGCATTTTTCAGAAACTGTGTTAAAAATGTATTAAAACGACACATACTTTAAAATGAAATTAGGCCTGTATCATTTTGTCTTCCACTTAATTCCACTTCACTGTAATAAGCGATGATAGAAACGTGGAATTTTGCGAATTAATTAGTTATTAACTGCATAATGATGTAATGTATACTAATTTACTGGTGGTGGTTGTTGTTGTTGTTGTTGTTGTTGTTGTAATAATTGGACTACTGAACAGTACAATGCAAATCTGTTCTTATAAAGTAACCCGATTACATTTTTTGAGGCTGTTTTTGATGTTTCGGAATTTGACTTGTTGATTCCTCCTCTGCTGTAACTTAACATGGCCACTAGGGGGAGACAGTAATGCAGCTTAGTGTAAGTGTGTTGCGTGCCTGTGATGCTGGTGGTTACTTCATTTGCCTTGAAGGTGTGAATGTACTGTATCTCTTCTCTGTAGGAAAGATAGCTCTGTTGTGTTAAACAGTGATACACAGCATTTACTTTGCAGAGCAGTGTGCATGATAAGGAACCATTGAGTGAAATAACTAATTAATGCTAAACAGCACTGAACATGAAATCCTTGTGGCTCTTGTTTACTGGACATTTATTGGCTGACATTTGTCTTGGGGTTAAACACATATAGTTCACAGCACATGCGCACGCACACACACACACACCCACACACACACACACACACACACCCAGACCCACTGAATCACTGCTTGTGGCTCAGCCACCGCTAC